ATAGTATATCTAGGGTTCAGTACTATCTGCTCTTTCAGGCTTCCACTGGGGGTCGTGGAATATACCCCCATGGATAAGGGGAGGGGGAACTACTCTACCTGCTTCCTATGATTAAATCAGAACTAATTCATGTATTGTGTGTCATGTCTGACACATAATAAAGCAAGAAAAGAGTATGTAAGTTGTAGTTACTAACCATGTATTCAATAAATGCTTTAATATGTTATACATATGTATACAATCCAAACAATGATTACACAATAAACATCTATATAACCACCATTCATTAAAAGATCACCCTGTTTCCACTGCTCAGTAGTGCCATGTATGTTATAAATCATGGGTACATAGATGTGGGGCTCAGGTTTGGAACTTTATTTTGCTTTTAATTACTATAGCTTTATAAGGAGCCTTGATATCTGGTATGGCAAGACCTCCCATCTTGTTCTTTTTCAAAGGATTTTGGCTTTTCCAGGTCCTTTGTATATTGACATACATTTGAGAATCATTTTGTCAAATTCCATGGAAAAAACTTTTGAGATTTTGTTTGGGACTGCATTAAATCTCTAGATCATTTTCTAAAGAATTGACATCTTCACAGTTTTGACTTTCAAATACTTAATTTAATATATATGTCCATTTATTTTGGTTCCCTTTAATCACTTGGTAATATTTGATAATTTTTTGCATGGAGATCTCGCACATATATTATGCTAGATCTATTCCTATGTACTTCAAATTTCAGATACTGTTGGAAAAAATATCATTTTTCTTATTTTAGCTTTGACTGGTGCTAGTATATATTTTGTAAAAATATATTTTTTAATCAGTGCCTTTTCTTTTGCCAGGCTCTGGCCCACAAATGTCCCATCTTTGTCCCTGCTCACCCTCCCATCCAACCCTGTTATGGCCCTGCCCAGTGACCTTAATCTCTCCAAAGCTGGGAGAATAGAGGGGGGCTATTTGCAGATGGCTCTTCAACCTCGAAAGGAGGATGTCGGCATCTGAAGGCAGGAAAGGTGAGAGCAGCCTTCCACCCCTGCAGACCCTTTGAGCAAGCCTGGGCTCTGCTCTACCCCTCGCCCCTCTGACTCACCCACTGCCCACCAGGACCCCACCCCTGGAGAGCCACCAGGTGACCAGAATCACCCTGTTCCCATCCCAGCCAGCCCCAAACACAGCCTTACCTCCAACTAAACTGTGAAGCTCAGCCTGACCGAGACACTGCCCGCTATGGCCTCCCTTCCCCATCCACAGCCGTAGTTCCCTGCTGAAACCCAACCCCAATCCTGGCCCTGACCCCTATCTTAGTGCCCACCCATCTTCAACTCCAAAGCCAGCCCCAGGCTTAATCCTAACACAAACCTTACCAACCAGAGGGCAAATCCCTGTTAGAGTCCAAACCTCAACATGGATACAGACCTTACCATGAGCTCTAAAGTCACCTGACCTCAACCACAACCCTTGGATGTCAATACTGTTAGCGAGTGGTTCTCTAACTTTCCAGAAAGAGTGCAGATCCATTTTTAACGACACAAAAAAAAAAA